TTCAGGCTAGGCTTCATGGGAACTTACTGTGGGTGCAAACAGACCACATTTTGTAAACTGAATTGTGATATTTAATTTTATTTTATAATGAAAAATGAATTTAATGTGCAATTTTTTAAGTTTACTAGATGTAAGACAACTTTTAATTTTCTTTATATATTGCATGCTTTAGTTTTAATTCTGTTTAAGTTAAGTTGTAAAGGTGAAAATAGGCCTCCTGGGTAACCGAGCACATTAAAAAAAAATCGGTAATCGCGTAAAAGCATACCTCACAAGTGGTGTGGAAAATGCAAGAACAAATATAAATGGAATAATTTTCGAAATTATGAAATGGTTATTGGTATTTTCCATCTCAAAGGGGGTGATTAATTTGAACGTTATTTAAGCTGCCTTTACACGGTCGATTTTTGTCGTTTAACCAAAATCTACCCGCGTAAATTGCAATTCAACCGTAAAATGTAAGCGTTTTGGCTAGTCGATATCTTAAGTAAATTTTCCAGTCGACAGATATCGACCCGTGAAAAGGCAACTTCAGGAATTTTTAAATTTTTTATTTTTTTTTGCTTGGGCATCTTTTGAAGAAGTGCCAAATTATATTGTCTACTTAAATACAAAACAACAATTTCTTTAAGCCATCTTGTGCAGCAATTTGATGATCTTATCCTCACGGCTACCGAAATCACCAACCTCAACGTAGTGATTAGCCTTCTTGCGCCAGCCTCGGGTTGATGTGTTGAGCTTGAATAGCAACAAGAAGTTGGGGGCTTTCTTGAAGTGAAGTGAATCAACGCACTGAATTTCATGCGCCTCGCGAAATTTGCGTTCGATCCCAAAGCAGAGATTGGGACACGCTTGACCATTCCACGTTTGTACATCAATTCACAAACCGATTTAAGATTTGGATAACCCCATATAGGGGGTTCGGCATACGTAGCATATTAATGGTTGCCTTGCTCAATTTGATGAACACACCGTTTTAATGTGGCGAAGACAGAACTGTAAAACTACGCACTTTTTGTGCAACTTTGTTGATATCGCGGATGCGGATCACAAAAGCCAATTTGGATTTTTCAGGCCCGTCGAATTGGCCGCATTTCTTTGCCACACAGCGTTACTCCATCTCACGGCGTCCATCACGGAGTTTTCTTGTTTGATATTTCTCAGCATGCACCAAGTTTTCACATTTACGGAGTGCAATCACAGCAGAGCGCTTTAGTTTACGTTTGATCAGGGTAGCAATTTGCTGACCTGCTCCTGCTGAACTGCAGCTTCGGCTCGGGGACAGGAGGCAGCTTCCTGGAAGGTTGTCTGCCCTTTGCTTGCGGTTTCTTACCGGCCCATGATGGCAGTCATCTTAACTTGTTACTTAGCACGTTGAAAAGGCGAAAAAAAGTTCGCTAAATGTTTGGAGCACATCGTAAATGAGCCACTCGATTTATAACATTTCTATAAACAATTTAATTAAATACTTTTTATACATAGATATGCTGCAACCATGCACTTTCCCAAATTCCATCCTGTTTATCGGCATAATTTTCCAAATATGCCTGCTACTTCATTACTAAATTTTCCAACTGCGCCTTCTTTGTTGGCTCGACATATCCTAAAAAGACAAATTTACATTAAACAATAGAAATCGCAAAAATTAGCAAATAAAATACTCGCTTTGTTTTGTTTTGTTGTCAAATTTCTGAGAAATGTGAATTCACCACGATGCGATGCAGAAAGAACAAGGACCAGGGATGTAATTTTAAGTACATCTATTATTCAGTGGCAAGGCGCAGAGCGTTCGGGGCAGCAATATTAATTTGTATCAAATATAACATTAAACGGTGGTCCTAATACATTTTTTGATATTATTAACCAGAGTACATACATTATATGGTATTTCTTTCATAATTAATGTACTATATGAACTTTTTTTTCAAATATTTCTTAAGTTTCTTTCATCAGTGCTGAAAAGTTATCGACGTTACCGACTCCATGTTATATGCAGTACATCATTATCGACGATTTCGACGTGATGCATATAACATGTGATCGATAAAGCAGTTTTGTACTTAGGGCCGGTTACTCAATGTCTGGTTAACACTAATCTACGGTGAAACTTCGTTATCGACGTTACCGACTCCCTGATCTATGCATCGAATCGACGACGTCGATAACGATGTTTAACCGCAGATTAGTAATAACCAGACATTGAGTAACCGGCCCTTAGCCAGAGCTTCTACATCTCCAATTTGTGCTCATCAGACATTGAACAACCGGCCCTAATCATCGAATAACATCGTTATTGACGTTTTCGACTCCATGCTTCTTCAAATACGAATCCTGGCCACACTGACTAGAAAAAAATTATACGAATTCATCGATCATTGCTTTCAAATGATTTTGCGCTGTAATATCTAATTATGGTTATGCATGCCATACAGAGATAAATGTTTTAAGTAATTGTATATGTATACAAATACTCTTTAAGTTGTGCACAATATATGTAAATACCTGAACAAAATTTTAGGTTGAGTTATTTCTTCATATTTCTGAGGTCTTTTCGAATTTCATTGCTGGGAGCTTATGCGGCGGATATTGTCATATCATTTATAGGTAGTAAATATAAACGTTAGTCAAGTGAGCGGCTGCCTTCTTCCCAGCTATTGTAAGTACGGATACCGCCAATGATATCTAAAGTATATTTTGTATATTTAATGAATAGTGTAAAACTTAGTATCTGAATTTGGCATAAATGCAATTTGGCTCCAAATCTCAATTAAAAAAAAAATGGAATCGATAGAGATGATTGAGCTGAGTATAACGGTATAACTACTTCTTTTTTTGGGCAACCAACAACAAAACTTATCCAAAGGTTAAATAAGCAATTTTTGAAATGAAAATTTCTCAAAAACCAATGAATGAAGTCTGAAAATTTTAATCTCATTTAATAGGAAATTTGATTCCCTTTAATTTGGTATACGTACTTTATATATATGTTGTATAGTTCTTACAAAAATTTAATTCATGTAAAATAATTATAAAAACAAGCTTACAAACCCTGTTGTTGTTGTTGTTGTAGCGGTTACTAAGCCCCGTTGGGGCGGTTCATCCATCAACGTTGTCGTCTATTTCAGCTAGGGGGAGGCCCAGGAAGTGTGCTACTTCCAAAGGGGCTGTCCATAGGGATAGGGGAGTTAGCTGAGTGGGGTTCTCAGGGCATGTGAAGAGGTGCCGGGAGTCATGTGGCGACTCTCCACATGCCGGGCATTGGTTGGGCACATCCTCGTTGATTCTGCTCAGGTAGCTGTTGAGCCTGCTGCATTGCCAGAGCGAAGTTGGGCTATTGTAGTGCGGGTCTCCCGAGGCAGACAAAGTTCTGTCCCGTCCACGTCCGGTGGTTGTGTGCCTACAACGGCATTCACAGGGCGGGAGTCTTCATAACTTGAGACTGATTCCTTGTGAATGCCGTTCAGGGCCTGTCGGTAGGTTGACGGGTCCAGAGGTTGTTTAATATACCGCAGACTGTCGAAGGTAACTCCGATGATTTTCGGGTTATTCACCGTCGGTATTGTTACGTCATCGATGTGAATACCCAGTGGCAGTCTGACCTCCTTCGTCCAGGTGGTGAAAAGGGTTGCCCAGGATTTCGCAGGGGATAGGGCAAGGCTCCTTGCAGTGAAGAAGCGAGAAAGTTCGGAGAGGTAACCGTTTACTTTTGAGCACAAGGCATCAATTCCATTCCCAGACGCCATGATCGAACAATCGTCAGCATACGAGACTATATTAACACCTTCTGGTGGCTGAGGAAGCTTTGATATGTAATAATAAAACAGTAGCGGGAACAGGACACCACCCTGTGGTACCCTCTGTTTAATTTTACGTGGCTTGCTAGTTTTGTCTCTGAAGATTACTGACGAGTGTCGATCACTCAGGTAATTCGCCGACCACCGTTTGAGTCCCTGTGGGAGCTAGTAGCGTTGAATGACTGACAGTGTCGAACGCCTTGGACAGGTCCAACTCTACTAGAATAGTTCTCTCACAGGGGCGGTTTCGGTTTAGGCCACGGTTTATCTGAAAGTTTATGGCGTTAAGTGCTGTTGTTGTACTATGCACTTTACGGAACCCATATTAATGCTTCGCTGGGGTCAGGTGGTTCGTGAAGTACGGGAGAGTTTTCAGGCGATAAGACTCCTTTGTTGGCTGGTTTCCCCGGTTTGAGTAGTGGGACCACTCTCCCCATTTTCCAGATGTCTGCATTGACGAGAGTGGCCATAGACAGGTTGGGGACCTCCGTTAGGTACGCTACTCCCTCAGGACCCAAATTTTTCAGCATCATCCGTCGGGTCCGATGGCTTTGGAGGCTTTCGCCTTCCCGATGGCTACCCTTACCTCACCGCTGGTGAAAACAAGAGGCACACTAGGTTTTGGCATTTTGTGCAGTTTTCTGGTCCCTCGACGTTTGGCTTTATCCACCGGAAGATGCAGAATGAACTGCCGGCTAAAATAGCTCCCGCATCTCTCCGGGTCCGACGAAGCGTGGTCACCAAAGTCTATCTCGACTCTGTCGTCGCGCTTCGTCGGGTTGGACAACGACCTCACGGTTGACCATAGCTTGCTCACACCAGAGTCGAAGTTGCAGGTCTTCAAATGCTCTTCCCATTTCTTCCGCTTATGTACGTTCACAAGTTGCGAATTGAGATCCCTGATACGGGGATTTCCGGGTATGTCCTGACGAAGGTTGTCGCGCTCATCAGCTAGAACAGCCGCTTCGGCAGGAAAATTCGGACGTGGATCCTTAATACATCCTGCTGGGATGAAGCGAGCTGCAGCAGCGGTGACAACCCTGCGGAACTTACGTTCACCTACATGAACGTCGGTTGGTATGGGTAGTGCAGTGAAGGCGCCCTCAGTAACATCCGTGAAGCCTTTCCAGTCAGCTTTGGAAAAGTTGAGATAAGTCCGGTGATCCACTGCAGCAAAGTCGGCAGGTTTATCAATCGAGATGACTGGGCAGATGGTCTGATGCTAGAGTCAGCATAGGTCGCCATGATACGCTGTTTATCAGACCAGCCCTGACAATTGTTAGATCTGGCGAGCTGCAGCAGCTGCCCATAATCCTGGTGGGTGCTTCGTCGTTCATTGTGCAGAATGTCGAATCGTCTATCTGCTCAGCCAGATGTATTCCCCTACGATTATTTGACAGGCTTGAGTGCCAGAGATCGTGGTGCGCGTTAAAGTCACCAACTACCATACGGTTTTCACCTCTGAGTAGCGCACCTATTTCAGAGTGATATCCTGCTGGGCAGCTGGTGACAGGGGGTATGTATACGTTAAATATTTCGAGCTCAACATCTGTTATGTGGGGTGCCTTTAGGTGGCGGCAAGGTGGGTTTTCAGGCATGGTAGTTCCAGCCCATGCTAGCTCGCCGGATGGGGGGGTTGTTCTCACCCGCCTCACCTACCACAACACAAACAAATCCAAATAAAGACGAAAGAAAGCTGGAAGAGGAGGCCCGTCCCGTCAGGTGGAGTCATCCCACCCCCTCTGCGTGCCTTACATACGCAGCCATGGGCGCTGCGCCGACTCCTACCTATTTGCAGCGACCCCTTTGCCTGACATAGTCCGTCAGTCTATTCGTCTATCTGTCTTGTCTCTGTCCTGTCATTAGGTCAACGCCCTCTCGTCCCCTGTTGTTGTTGTTGTAGCGGCACTACTAAGCCCGCCATTTTCGGGTCTACGTTCCATCATTGTCGTCGAGCTCAACTAGCGGGAGGCCCAGGAAACGAGCTGTTTCAATGGGATCGGACCAGAGGGAGAGGGGTGTTAGTTGAGTCGGATTGAGCTGGCATGTAAAGAGGTGGTTGGTGTCGTGGGGGGACTCTCCACATGCCGGGCACTCATTGGGGATATTGGGATCGAGTCTGGACCGGTAGCTGTTAAGGCGGCTACAGTATCCAGACCGTAATTGAGCCAGGGTAACGCGGGTCTCTCGTGACAGTTGAAGCTCCGTCTCTTCCACAGGTGGTGATTGGGCTCGTATTACGGCATTCATAGGTCGAGAGTCGAGGTAGTTGGTAACTGACTCTCTATGAATGTCGTTTATGGCTTGTCTGTATATCGTCGGGTCCAACGGTTGGTCTATGTACTGTTGGACTGCATCCTTGTACACGAATAGGTGCCCCCTGACGTGCCTGGGCGGAGGCTCCTCCTGAAGCAACAGTCTGTTAGGGTGTTCACTTCTGTGACACCCCACCAGAAATTGCTTACAGAACATTTTGTTGTGTTCCCTGACGGGGAGCACTTGGGCCTCGCTGTGCAGGTGGTGCTCAGGCGTCATCAGAAGGCACCCAGTCGCTGTCCGGAGTGCGGCGTTCTGACAAGTCTGTAGCTTCGTCCACTGCGTCCAACTAGTCCCCGGCGTCCAAACTGGCGCAGCATAGTTTAGAACCGGCCGGCCAATTGCCTTGTATGTTGCCAGCAACGTTTCTTTGTCTTTACCCCAAGTGCTGCCGGCGAGCGACTTGAGGACCTTGTTGCGGCTCTGTACTTTGTTGACAATTGTGCGGTTGTGTGCGTGGAGAAGGAAAGCAGGCTATCGAAATTGACTCCTAAGATTTTTGGGTTGTTTACAGTCGGTATTGGTGTGCCGTCGACGTGTATACCCAACTCTAGCCTGACCTCCTTCGTCCAGGTGGTGAAGAGGGTCGCCGTTGATTTCGTTGGGGAGAGTGTTAGGCTCCTTGCAGTGAAGAAGCGAGAAAGGCTGGAGAGATAGTCGTTCACTTTTAAGCAGAGGTCATCAATTCCATTCCCGGACGCCAAAATCGAGCAATCGTCAGCGTATGAGATCAGGGAAACTCCCTCAGGTGGTTGAGGAAGTTTCGAGATGTAGAAGTTAAATAGTAAGGGGGAGAGAACACCACCTTGTGGAACCCCTTGTTTAATCCTTCTTGGTTTCGAGGTTTGATCTCGAAAGATTACTGACGACTGTCGACCACTCATATAATTCGCCGACCATCGCTTCAGTCCCTGTGGGAGTGAGGAGGCCTCGATGTCTTCTAGTGGCGTGGAATGACTGACGGTGTCAAACGCCTTTGACAAGTCCAGCGCTACTAGGACCGTTCTCTCACAGGGCCGGTTTCGATTTAGGCCACGAGTTATTTGTGTGTTTATGGCGTTAAGTGCTGTTGTTGTGCTGTGCACTTTACGGAATCCGTGCTGGTGCTTAGCTGGGGTCAGGTGGCAAGTGAAGTATGGGAGTAGTAGGGCCTCAAGCGTCTTCGCGACCGGGAAAAGGAGCGTTATCGGGCGATAAGAGTCTCCTTTGTTGGCGGGCTTCCCCGGTTTCAGCAGTGGGACCACTCTCCCTGATTTCCACACATCAGAAATGATGAGAGTGGCCATGGACAGGTTGAGGACCTCCGTAAGGTAAGCTACTCCCTTAGGCCCTAAATGTTTTAGCATCAGCATGCAGATTCCGTCGGGTCCAATGGCTTTGGAGGCTTTCGCCATCCCGATGGCCCCCTTCACTTCACAGCTGGTGAAAACAAGTGGAGCACTGTTTTTTGGCAGCTTGTGCAGCCTCCTGTTCACTCGACGTTTGGCCTTGTCTACCGAAGGGTGCAGTGTAAATTGCCTACTAAAGTGTCATCACGCTTCGTTGG